ATCCCCATCGTACAGAGGGAGAAACTGAGGTACAGAGAGTTTAAGAAACCCAGGCTAGGTGTGGTGGTGGCATGAGCCTTTAATATACTCAGGAGGCAGAGGCAGGTAGATCTGTGTGAGTTCAAGAACAGCCTGGTCTACATAGTGTGTTCCAGGCTAGCCAGGGCTACACAGTGAGACTCTCAAAAAAGAAGAGACTCGCTCAAGGCCAGAAGACAAGTAAGTGGCAGACTCAGGGTTCCAACTTGGGCTGGCCTGGCTCTCAACTCCCTGCTTCTTTCAGCTCACCTCACAGTTGGTCAAAGGCTTGACTGCTCATGTTTCTAACGTTGCTGGTCGGTTTCCTCAGGTAGAAGACAAGTCTTTTGGACCCTGGACACTCTTCATGTTCAGTAAAGATGTGGACAGAAAGGTGGGAGGACCCTAGCTGTGGAGTGCAAGGGAGTGAAGGAGAATACGTGATACTCCAGCCCTGAAACCAGCACTCTGCCCACTCCCATCTACTGTCTGCTGTGTGTGGTCACTGGGGGGCAGGGCAGCATGGCAGTTTATGGTGCAAGGTCTCAGGGCCCAAATGATCTGGGATTCAGTCACAGCCAGTCCTGGAACTTGACAGATCTATTCCCTCATCTGTGCAATGGAGCTGTGATGGGTAATGACACCTTACAAGGGCTGTAAGGGACACAGAAGATGCAGCTACGGTGCCTGGTGTGAACCGTATGCAGGGCATGGTGGGTTCTTGGACCCTAATCTCACACCTCCTAAAAGTTTGCTGTATGGAAGCTGAGGGTATCTACCTCCCTTTGGTGACCCAGCCACAGTGCCAAACAACATGACTATCTGGCAAATCTCAGAATGGGTAGTGCAACACGCAGTATGCTGGACTGAAGGCCCGAGGATTCCAGCCCCAGTCCTACAGTTAACATTCAGCATCACCTCCAGCAAATCCCTTCCCCTTTCTGAGCCTTAGTTTCTCCAACTCTAAAAGGAAGAGAACCATACTGTCAAAGGCCCAACCTAAGACTCTATCTTGTGACACTTCCCAACCCCACCCCACCCCCGGACCCCTGCAACCAGGGAAAGACAGAGTTCTCACCAAACTGATAGAAAGATGAATGCGTTCAGAGATAGCCACTGACACTCACTGCAAGGGGTCCTGATCACTTGCCCTGAAGCCCTTCTGAGAGGCTGATGTATTCCCTGACACTTCCCTATTGAAACATTCTAGAAAGTCGCTCAAATGAAGGGACAGCCCTGTAGCCTTCACGTGAGTTCCTGGGTCCAACGAAGGAGCAGAGACTAATTTGAGGGTTTCCTTTGCACCAGACACCTGCAGAATGCCACCTGCGTGCCAGGTGAGGTCAGCCCTCTGTGTGCACTTCTTCAATTCCTTCTGCAAACTCCCGGGGAGAAAGTGCTGCCTCATTTTGTAGCCAGGCGAACAGACCCAGAGAGGTTAAGAAACTTACCCAATTCCACATAGCAGGGTAGCGTTAAATCCTAGTCTTCTGGCTGCCAAGATCTGGTCCCTCAGTAAGCTTGCTTATCACTCCCCCAGGTCTTAGTGGTGGGCATTAATGGCTGTCCCCTTTTCTACAGCCTCTGTGTATCAAGCCACTTGCTTTACCACACTGTGGCTGGCTCCTCTACCACTGCATCCTCCCATGCCAGGCTGAAGACTGACCTCTGTGACAATAGCAATAAGACCTATTGACCAAGTAAGTACCTGAGCTAGGCCTCTAATCTCCACAGGAGGACCTATAAAGGAGCTGCCACCAAGCCTGACAACCTGACTTTAATTTTTAGGACCCACGTGGTGGAAGGAGAGAACCAACTTGTGCAAGCTGTCCTCTGATCTCTACCTGTGCCCCATGGCACATGTGTGCCCACATACCCACAGGTATGCACACCAAATAAATAAAATGTAATAAAAGTTACCAAAAAAATTTATAATAGCCACAAGCCCAGAAAGCAGAGCCCAGCGCTCTGTAGCCAGGACCACCAAGGTTCATCTGGACCTGCAGTGCGTGGCTGCTGCCACCCGGCTGGGCAGTGTGTGTCCCATCTGGTCAACCCGTGGAGGAGGGGAAAGACATCTGGTCTGGTCTGAGCCACAGGCAAGGAGCAGGCTGTCTTCTTTGCTGGTGGCCAGTGGGGCCTTGGGAGCGTTTTCCAACAGGGCCTGCTGAGTGGGATATGTGCACAAGCTACTGAGACACTGAATGCTTAGTTCACAAAAACTGGCTAGAGAGACACCTCAGCAAGAGGGCTTGCCCTCAGAGTAAGAACAGATTTGAGGAAGGACGGGTAGCGGCAGGGGTTCGGTGTGGTGAAGGGCCACACGGTGAAACTAGAGAAAGCAGGCTGAGGCGTGAGACCCCTCTCTCTGCAGCTCCCCTAGATCCAAGTGTGAACTCAGGACTTCCCTGTCATGCCTGTACCTTGTGAGCACAGCACATGGAGACTGCGTGGGATCTCCCTGTGACTCTCAGCCAGGCAGGGAAGGATAGGGACTGCCACCCCAGCTCAGAGCAGCCTGTGCCCACAAGGCTCAGCTACACAAGGTCAGTGAAGATAACAGAGGCTGCCCAGCAGCCTCCATGGAGTCAGGAAAGTAGGGGTATAACACACGGACGAACTGAGGCCAGCGCACCTGCTTTGACCTTTAGGGTCCTCTCTTCAGCTTCTGAAATTGAGCCTTGTCCTCTGGGTGTGTGGAGAAGCCCATCCTGGGATAAAGCCCAGGATGGGAGCCATCAGTGGCTCCAGGTTAGCCCACAGTCCAGGCAGATTGGTGATTTCACTGTGTCATTCCCCTCTGCTTCCCTGGGAGCTGGTCCCAAGCCGGGTATCCAACAGTGTGGGAGTTGTAGAGTAGATTAGAACAGCTCCCTGCCTGCGGGACCTTTCAAATCTCCCTTCCCTGGGCCACTGGTGCACCCTGGCTGCAGAGGGGGCTGGTTGCTCACTTGAGAGTCACACCCAAAAGGACCTCAAAACCCATCACAGGCTTCCTGGGGCAACTGACATCAACAGAAATCGTCATTCTTCCTAACACATGGCCTTTTGTGTGCTTACACACATTCCCATTTACATCCTCACTGCAGCCCCAGTATGAAGGCTGCACCAGCAGAAGCCTGGAGAGGGTAAGTGACTGGGACGTGGCCACACAGCTAAGAACAGAGTGAGGATTTGTACCCAGGTCATCCAGCTCAAGGGGTAGGTTCTTTCTACCATTCTAGCTGACTGGAGAAGGCCTGGAGGGCTGAGATTTAAATCCTGGAGGGGCTGGAGAGATAGCTCAGCGGTCAAGAGCACTGGCTGTTCTTGCAGAGGACCTGGGTTCAGTTCCCAGCACCACACGATGGCTAACAACCGTTCATAACTTCAGTTTCAGGGGATTGAACACCTTCTTCTGACCTCCTCAGGCACTGCATGACAGGGGTGTACTTACACACATGCAGACAATACACTCATACACATGAAATAAATTTTTTTTTAAAGTAAATAAATTCTGGAGAATTGTACCAAATGACACCTGATAAAGCCCAGTCTCTATCAGAAGTATTTCTTGTCAAATAGGAATAATAGCTGTGTCTATGCTGAGCAGTTTAAGAGATAGACATCTCATTGCCAGCACGGATTCCCATTTACAGAGAAGGAAAGGGGACACTTTTTCAAACACATTTCCACTTGTACTGACAGCTCAGTCTTGAACAGCTTTGGGGAGAGCCACATCTACCACCTCTCACTGGGATGAGGACTAAATTTACAGTCACAAGGAGACACACCTCTGGGTGCATCTGTGAGGAAGTTTCCAAGAGGTTTAACTGAGGAGGGAAGGACCCACTCTGAATGTTAAGTGGGTACCATCCTATGGACTGGGGTTCCAGACTGAATAAAAAGGAAGAGAGGAAAAACCAAGCTAAGTATCAGATTCATCTCTTTCTGCTTCCTCACCATGGAAACAATGAGACCACTGCCTCACACTCTGATAGACTTCCCTGATAGACTGTATGCCCTCAAACTGTCAGCCAAAACCAACTTTTTCTTCCTTAAGTTGATTTTTCTCAGGTATTTGGTCACAGCAGTGAGAAAGGCAGTTAATACACATTCTTTATGAAAAAAATTAAATGATGATTAAAATACTTATAACTTAAGCCCCTCATGAAAATAGTCAAAATTGTATATGTAATGGTAAATTCACAGGAGGAAAAATTGGAAGGGAATGAACAAAGATGTCAACAGTGGCTACATTTACAAGGTAGAACGAGTTTCATTTATTTATTTTGCCTGTTTTGTATTTTTTTATCCCTTTCCTCCCACGTTCATAAATGCGTAAATCTACCCAAATCCATAACACATACCGATGCCAAGGGGGTGAACTGTCTGGACAGGCAGGAAGGTTCCAACAACACTGACTGCCAGAGAGAACCTTGGTCTGGGTCACATTCTCATAACACCAACTCAAAGACTGGGCAGTCCGTAGGCAGGGTCAAGCCTCAGCTATCTACGCCCTTCAGGTTTCCCTGAGGATTTCCAACTCTGACTTGGTTCTCTGGATCCCTGGGAAGTGAGAAATTGGGGGTATGGCTCCCTTCTCTGGACCTGCACAGCAGAAACTGGGGCTTCAGGTGAAACACAAAGGGACAGGTTTGCCATCACCAGGCAGCATGAGGGTTACCCCAGGACTTCATCTAAAGGCTGTCCCAGCACCCGGCCTCCTCAGACATGCATTCACTGTCTATACACCACACTGTCATCTCATGGCCACCCTGTAGCAGAGAAGATCTGCCTAGTCCTCAGTGTGTTCATGTGTACAAACCTCTGTCTCTCACCATCCTCACCTTTCCAAGCTACTTTGCTTGGACACAAGGATGTATGGATGGAGAGATGCACTTGGACCCTGAGTTCAGGAAGGGCCTAGAGGAACAGTCATGGGTGGAAACGTAACCCAAGTGAAACTGCATTCCACACCCTGGGGGTTTATGACAACTCACCGAACATGGTGCCCTCATAGCCGTCCTTCGTGAGCGGGCGGAGCTCGTTCTTGCCCATCGCGTAGCGCCGATAGTTTTGCCATGAGAACCGCATCATCTGCGGGAAAGAGCAGGGGACCAAGCCCTAGTGAGACAAAGCTGGCAGCAAGTCTCACCCTGATTTGATTTTCCCAGTCAGAGCTTGCCCAGAAAGCCATCCTCCTCCAGTAAATCTTCACGCCCAGGATCCACCCAAAGAGAGAGAAGATACCCAAAGCACGGTGAATTCTAGCATCCTTCAGGGCCAAGCAAAAAGTCACCTCTTAGGCTGGGAGCGTTGCTCAGTAGGGGTTTGCCCACCATGTGTTAAGGTTCTCCTTTCAGTACTACAAAGGAAAAAATAAAGGCCACAGCCTCCACGTAGCATTCCTTGCTTTACTTTGGACTAAGGGACTCTCTCAAGGGGTGGGAACTTAGTCACCAGGTAAACACCTAATCTTAACAGAATGAGTCCCCCTCCTCCTGCACGAGTATTGTGGAGCCCCTTTGGGTCAGAAATGAGGTTGTCCTACCCAAGTTGACCCAGTGAGTCAGGAAGAGGGCCAGGAACAAAGCCCACCCCTCTTGGGTCTGCCCCTAAGTTTACCTTGTATCCTAGTTTGTTTCTTCATTGTTGTGACAAAATATTCTGACTACTACCAACTTGGGAGGAAAGGGTTTATTAGGCTTACATCTCCCAGGTCACAGTTCAGGGAGCCCAAGGTAGGAACTCAGGGCAGGGACCTGGAGGCAGGAGCTGGAGCACAGGCCATGGAGGATCACTGCTTACTGACTTGCTCCCCTGGCCCCTGCTCAGCCTGCTTTCTTATGTAACACAGGCCCACCTGCCCAGGGGTGGCACCACCCACAGTGGGCTGGGCGTTCCCACATCACTCAAGAAGGTGCCCCATGGACATGGCCACAGGCCAATCCAATGAAGGCAATTCCCCAATTGAGGCCCCCTCAACCCAGGTGTGTCAAGTTGACACTAAAGCCATCCAGCACACCTTGTGAATCTCTCTGGACTGTGTCGACCTACCCTAGCCATCCCAGGCTCCTTTGCACCCCAGCTGTTCACTGCTATTTGTTATTTCTATGGCTCTAGACTATGAGTTTCTTGAGACCAGACACTACACCTGCCTTGTCTCCATTTCCCCAACAGCATCTAGCATAGGACTTGGTACACATATGTACCCATGAGTACCTGAAGACTGTCACTCAGTATGTGCATGAGTCCCAAAGTAAAAGCAGCTACTCCAGTCCTGAAAGAATGTTGAAACTTGTCCCCTGAGCTACACTCACTGGGGGCTGAGGAACACTCATGGTGACAATCCGCTGACTTCCTTTCTTTCACCCCCCACCAAAGACTCTCCCTCGTTGCTTCTATGGTGTGCATCTTTCACTTTTGCTTAGCAGGCTGCAGGAGGAGGGCAGCAAGGCAGGGCTCTGAGGTGGCAGTGAGGCAGAGCAGGGAGCAGGGTTTGCAGGAGAAGCAGGTAGCTGGGGGAGTGCCAGATGCAGGCAAAAGAACTGAGGCTTCCAGACCAGCAGAGCCTGAGTTCTAACCCTATCTTTGCCATTGTCCCTGTAACTGGTGTGAAACACCCTGTGAGGTCTGCTCTGCCATGATCCAGAAAGGCTTCAATGAAGTCGGATGTGGTGGTGCACGCCTGTAAGTCCCAGCACTTGGAAGGCAGAGGCAGGTGGATCTCTGTGAGTTCAAGGCCAGTCTGGTCTACATAGTGAGTTCCAGGACAGCTGGGGCTACAGGGAGACCCTGTCTCAAAAAGA